ACTAGCAAGTTATACTAATTTGCACTTAGTTGGCCACAGTATTGAGACATACCTTTGAATGGCTGGAGTCCGACACAGTTTCTTCTGTGTCACTTNCATGCGAGTCAGTGTCATTCAACCATCAGGGACTTCGCGTTGTCCTGGAGGCGAATCACCAACATAATTTGGGTTCTTCGTGCGCGCCATTGATCTTCGAAAAACCAAACAACCCAACGAAATCGGTTAAGCATTTTAACCTAAATTCGACGCGAATTCTACTCAAAATTGTAAAATGTATACTCGGATTTGAATAAAGGAATTAGATTCGGACTTACCTTGGAATTAGATTTCGAGTTACGAAGAGTTATCCTTGGTTATACTAGAAGAAGGAAGAGAGTTGGAAGAGGAGATGGCGGACTTGTGTTTTTTTTTTTAAACTGTCGAGGGAGGTNGGGTTAAAGAGGGAGAGTGGGATCCGAATTTTCTGGGTTTGGGTGTGGGTTGATCCATTTAGGGTGGTTGGGTCTGTAAATAAGAAATTTCATTCGGGGGTTTTGGGTCTTTATCCTTTTTTCGATTTTTATACACAAAAATTAAATCAAAAATATTTTTTTTTTACAGAAAGTTATATATGAATAACATTGGTCCTATAAGGGTATAGGAAGACATGGTCCGCTTTATTTTCTACAGCGATAAATTATAATAATAAAAAAATAGTAAACCCGATATAACCGACTCGGTCAAGAACAAACAAAGAAATTGTTGTAGCCCATTTGTACATCTATTGGCCCGTTTAATTTGAACCTTTAAATTCACTAACAGGCCCACGAAAAAAACAACAAACTAATTGAATCATGTTTTGTCTGTGTAGTCAAATTCACTGAATTCCGAAACAATAAAAGAGTAGTCAAATCCCTTGAAAGTACTATTATTTAATTTTCTTAAATGTTATAATTTGATTGGTTTAAAATAATACATGTCTTTGAAAATTATTTATTCATGATGATTATATATCAGATTGCAGTTAAAGAATACATCATTTTGTAAAACTGTAAATATCATCAAATTAACCAGGTCTTCGATTTCTTTTAAGTTAATCTTGCAACGTTTGTATAGGTTGAACTTTGATTACAAAGAATGTCTAGGAATATCGTTTGCGTTATATTAAATACTAATTGTTTATTTGTATGTTTCAGTTGCTGATATAACTTTGCCAACAAGATCATTCAAATCAAGGATTTATATGTAGGTAAAAATTTTGTATCTTTGGTATATATGTTTTTCGAAAGTTTGCTAATTGTTATCTTTTTTTGTTTGAAATGGTATATGATGTCTCAATGATAAGT